TCCATTCTTGGACAAGAGCAGCTTCTAAAGCAGCAATGGTGTGCATCTGTGGTCTCCGATACAGACGGCGTCCAATCTCATCCCAGACATGTTCTATTGGTGCCATGTCCGGAGACATGGCTGGCCAGTTCAAGACATTGATGTTGTTAGCAGCCAGGAAGTCCATACTAAAACGGGCGGTATGCGAACGTGCATTATTCTGTTGGAAGTGCTGAAGTTGTGGGTGCGCTCGAAACATCGGAACAACAATTGGTTGCAAGACATCATCACGGTAGGCTACAGCATTAACGCGACCCCTGCAAATGTGTAGGGCGGTCCGGTGATGAAATGTGAAGCCTCCCCACATCATTACACTTCCCCCACCCCATCGATTCGTTTCGAAGACGCAGCAGTCTGCATGACGTTCCTCAAGACATCTCCACACACGTTGACGGCCATCAGCGTGATAAAGATGAAAGCAACTCCCATCACTGAAGAGCACACTTTGCCAGTCTACTCTTCTCCATGTCTGGTGTGTCCTTGAGCCCCTATCAAACGCCGCTGACGGTGATGATCCCTGAGGATAGCTCCAACATAAGGTCGTCGTCGAGTCCTACTTCTCTTAGACGACGTCTTACGGTGTTGGCACTTACTGGTCCTTGTCTTTCGACCACTGCCGCACATGTTTGAGTCGCTGGGCAGAATCTGTCACGCAGATGAGTGACCCGGATGTAGCGGTCTTGAGCCTGGGTTGTAACGCGTTGTGGACCAGGACGTTGACGGTCACGCGTTGATCCAGTAACTCGAATACGTTCCACCAACCTTACAGTAGTGGACTGATGACAATTGAGGTGTTTGGCAATAATAGCACGCGTAGACATGCCAGCCCTGGACATTCCCATGGCTTCATTCCGTTGATTTTCAGTAAGTCTCGGCATCTCTAGCTCGATTCCTTCACACGTCCAACAACAAATTACGACAAATTGACGTTTCACAGTTCATGTACAACACATTAAGTTGAAAACATGCTTTTAAAGGGCTCACACACAATGCTGCACGTGAATATTGGGTTTTTCATGTGCATCTCATGCAATTTTTTTTGTGCACACGGGCCGAAATTTTTTGCGTTTGGGAGCATTGTGTGAAACAATAGTTCATAGTATTGCATAATATTATACATACAAAACCAACTAGTAATAAAATAATTGGGAAAAAAAGTGATGCGTTTTCCATGGCGCTCAGTAATATAACGGTATCTACTTAAAATGATCATTTAAATACTTAAAAGAGATTGAATTGATTTCATTATTCTTTTATTATTATTTCTTTTTTTTATACCGGAATAGTATTATTAAATTTACATTAGCACTATTAGATGTCGATCTACGGCTGTTTTTATTAATAATTTGTTTAGTGAAACCGAATGATAAAAATTGCGTTAAGTCTACGTCGATCGAGATTTTGCCGTGGGTAACAAAACTCCGTCAAATCAAATAGCCCAGTGACGTGTAGAATAGATCAAATGGCTTGCTATGTGTCGCAAATTATTCGTTTAACGGCTATGTATATGAGTAATATGAAAAAACTAATGATGAGAGATTTCATTTAGATTAGATCTACTTGCGCAACACATCAACGCAAATGTCTAGCCTAGACTAGTGCAGATCACGTCGGTTCTAAATTCTACGTCGCTTGGCCTAGACTCGTGTATTCTGAGCGGACTGACACAATCATGCAGCTGGTACAGCTAGTTTTAATAGTTAAAGCAAGAATTTCATATTTTCTAAGAAAGTCAAAACATAATTATTTCTATATCTTTTGCTCAATAGGCTGTCAACTCAATAATAACACCGGAAATAATAACACAATTACCACCTGTGTTGTTCTACCCCCCCCCCCCCCATGGAAAAACTATCTGCAAACATTTGAATTTGAAGTTGAAAATGATATTTTGGCCAATTTCTCAACTGGCAATAGTGATCAAGGTAGGACTGTTTATAGATACCATCTATTTTAAAGCTTTACTTTAATACATTTTAAAAATATAACTTAAAAATATGAAATTCACTCGGCACAGTTGCAGTCTGAGTGTGTTTTGAAATGAACGTCGCCACTTACATCGCGGTCGTCAACAAAGTCCATGCCTACATTGCCGGTAATCATATTCGAGGGGCTTTCATATTCAACTTAATAATAATAGTCTCTGTTACTACATGATGTATGTATAGGTGCGCGTGTTTTACATACATGTAAATATAGTTGGTGTTTTTGTTGTTTTATAGCCATTGATAATGCTGTTGCGTAGGTAGCCTAATGTTTTGTTTGTATTTGTATGCTGTCTCTAATAGCCTAATGGGGTGTTAAGATACAATATAATTTTATCTGATGTTATATTAGCCTTAGAAGAAGCAATTGACGATTTTTATATCCCTTCCACATACCCGGTTGAGAGTTAAAATAATAGAACTTACCTTCGGCACGAACCAAAAAACCAATATGGCGTCCCAGAAGCATCTTTCGCGGCAACATTTAGAGTCACGTTATCAGTTTCCGCGGGAAAAAAAACCGCTAGTGTTACCAGATAATTTACTGAAGAATTAACCGGAATATTTGTCAGCTTCTAGTTGTTTTACAATAAGCCTTAAATAAAATGTATTATAGTTTGTATTGTGTTATTAAATCTCGATCTACGTCGTTAACCAATACAACTGTACCCAAGATCATACGTCAATTTCTATAGATAAGCGCATTGCAATTCCTGTTTTATGCACTGAATTTGTGTAGCAAACGCTGCACACTACACAATATGCATTAATCACCATTTTCTGTGCTTTGTGTTATTATTTCAATTGAAAAACACCGGATGTAAAAACAGCGACATTTAGGTGCGGGAGAGGCATCTCGTTTACAGTTCATAATACATTTTTATAATACTTGACGGACGCAAACGCCTTTTCTTGCTTTCCCAACCCGTGTGCTCAGCAACATGAAAGCAAGCCAGTATTGCCTATTTAGTACACCAATAACTTTAATGCATTAAAGGAAATTATGATTTCCGAAAAATTATAAAACAAATAAATGACCGATGTCGCACACCGCCGAGTGGGACCCGACGAAATGTTTCAATCCGCTATCAATGCAGTACAAATTCGCCGTGTTCAATGACAAGAAAGTGAAAATGTTTTATTATACTTAAAAATCATCGAATTTGGGGCTCTTTATTTGACTGACAAGAAAGCAAAATATTTTCTTCCAAATAACATTCTGAAAGTTCCGCTTTCACTTTCTCTCGGGATTTTGAATGTGACTTTTTACCTAAATTGCTGCCGGGAACAGGGAATGTCAGGCAATGTCATGACCTTGACTCAGGTTACAACCCCAAAATTGACCTTGCGGGTGCGGGTCACGACTTTGACCATGACATTTATTCGCGATATCTGGGTGGTACATGAAGTTTTGGGACTTTTTCGATCCCAAGGTCAAGGGTCAGGTCAAAGGTCAAGGTCCCATTCGAAAGGTCAATGAGTTGCCTATCCATGGTCATGACCTTTGATTTGCCGCGCAGACCAGGGGCCCCACCATGTGCCCGGGAGCATCGAACTCAGTAGATATTTTGGTGACCTTGACCCTTTCAGATGACCTTGACCTACCGGGGTCATGTGGACCAAGATGACATTTTGGAAGGTCAAGGTCCAGTGGTCCTGACTTTATTAGATAGGCCCCTAGGGTTCAAAAACCAAAATACTTCCGGGGCCCCTAGCGGGTCAAGGTCACGACTTTTGGTTGGCGATTTTAAAAAATGAAGAACAAATGTTGGGTCAGTCTATCGGGTCACCAAACCCTGGGGCGATCGGAAGACATTTTTGGGGCAAATTTCCCTAGAAAGTGAAATAGCTGAGCATTACAGCGGTGTGGTCTAAGGGCAGATAACTCGCCAATCCCAAATCGGATCCGACGACCTTGAGGTCGTGGCTATTTAAACTAAATTGACCCCTGGGAGTCTCGTGGTGACCTTGGTTTGACAATCAGAGGTCAAGGTTCGAACTGCTATATATGACGTTTCGATAACGTTATGACAATGTTGTGACAACGTTTTAACAACGTTGTGACAACAACCTGTATATGAAGTTTTGATAACGTTGTGACAACGTTGTGACAACAACCTGTATATGACGTTTTGATAATGTTTTGAAGACGTTGTGACAACGTTGTGACCACGTTGTAACAACGCCGTGACAACAACCTGTATATGACGTTTTGATAACGTTGTGACAACGTTGTGAGAACAACCTGTATAATAATGACGTTTTGGTAACGTTTTGAAGACGTTGTGACAACGTTGTGACAAAGTTGTAAAACCGCTGTGACAACAACATGTATATGACGTTTTGATAACGTTGTGACAACAACCTGTATATGACGTTTGAATAACGTTTTGATGACGTTGTGACAACGTTGTGACAACAACCTGTATATGACGTTTTGATAACGTTTTGAAGACGTTGTTACAACGTTGTGACAACGTTGTAACAACGTTGTAACAACGCCGTGACGACAACCTGTATATGACGTTTTGATAACGTTGTGACAACGTTGTGACAACAACCTGTATATGACGTTAGAATAACGTCTTGATGACGTTGTGACAATGTTGTGACAACGTTGTGACAACAACCTGTATATGACGTTTTGATAACGTTTTGATGACGTTGTGACAACGTTGTGTCAACAACCTGTATATGACGTAAATACAACGTCGAATATTGGTCGAAAACACGTTGTACAACGTCACGACCAATATTGACGTTGTCACAATGTTGTAACAACGTTGCGTGCCCGCTGGGTAATAGGCCTACCCGGGGATGACAAATCCGGATACGAAACAAAGGTTGTGTTTTCTATCGCGCCTGGCCATTGACAGAAGTTGGGTATGTTTGCCTCTCAGAAACCAATTGAATGCTATTTTCCCTGTTTAAGATAATGCACTGGTCCAAGAAGTCGAATAAAAATCCATTTATTGATGGAATCATTGGGCATAGTAGAGGAGAAAGCGCGCGTCTTTCTAGAGGCAGACGACACAAGAGAGAATTATAATGGACGCTGAATCGTAGAATACAACCCGTGAATATCTTGAGACGGAAGTATTTGGAATTGGTAAGAATGACTATATATTATATTTTTGTATGAAGCAATGCACATTATGAATACCTCGGCAGTTCTTTGACTGGATTAGTTTCCTTAGTAACGAGGGATTACGTGAGATTATAGTTCGTGCTATGTCCTAATATAGAAGCACGTCTCGTGGGTATGTCGTAGACTGACTGGTCTTTGATTGCTGGTTATTAGCAGAAGACTTGACAGCGAGTATTTTACGAATTGGTTTTTTGGTTCTCTATGAGAATAAGGAACTATCAGACGATATTTATATAGCTTTCGGCATCAGTGAACACTGTGGAGAGACGTGCCGTAAGAACATCAATGTGGCGGGAAATGCCGTTAAAGGCTGCCGGTTAAAACTATTTTATATCAGTTATTGCCTAGTTTAGCATTAACATTATGTTTATTGGGGTATACAGAAAATAATTTCGTCTGCTTGTGATTCTTGGTATTGGCATAATTTCATCTGAGGTTTTAACCGTTAATGAACATATGACACCCCCCCACCCGCTGCCCAAGGCACAGATATAGGACCCAGTTCACAGAAATGTGAGAAAGAAATACATTTTAAATATGTACAAACAGATGAAGTAATTTTTTTTTTTTTTTCAAAGTTAAGCATTTACAAAAACATTTACTGTGATAATTTCAAATTTAAATAAATTAAACTTTAATTTCACTCTATGATTAGTTAGGGGTTCACAGTGGCTAAGTGGGTAAGACGCTGGCTCGCTAGCCTGGAGGTCCCTGCATTGGCCGAGAAAGTTCATCCAGATTTTCCGGCATGGTTCCCCCTTGTCAGTAATGCAGGACGGAGGGCCTGACAAAGGACAGCTGTGTAGTCGTTTGGATGGCACGAAAAACAGAGGCACTGTGTACACATTAGCGTGCACGTAAAAGATCCCTTGGCAGTTGGAATTTGATATAAGAGTAGGCCCTAGTGCCGCTATCCGGGAAAAATTTCCCTCCATAGTACAGTGTATGGCGCATGCCCGTCTTCATTAACCCAGTTTGGTTGCCCTGGGACGTAGTCCAGTCGCCCCCCCCCCCCACAATATCAATTAGAGCAGGGACATTGCCACAACTAGCCAATACTTCTGAAGCAATGGTTACTGGCAACATTTGCTTATTAACCATTGCTACTCTCACTATGGTAAAAAGGTTTTATGTTTCCAGCTGCATATTAGAAGGTGCGTACTCTTTTTAATCGTCTACCTAGGTTTCTTTACCCAGATAAGTTTAGAGCGAGAGATATTGGATAGGAACATTGGTTTGGAAAGCATCTTTAGAGAATGAGAGAAAAGTTATTTTGTTTGTGAATGCTAAATAAAAGTATAAGTACTCTAAATTATTTATTTAGAATAGTATCTAATGGAAATACTGTATGTATATTTGTAAATACCAGCCGCAGTGTATTAGATATAACTGTCTACCTCGGGGCCTCACAGTACCTGCAACACCTAAGGGCCTATAAAAATCTTAATCTGGCACTGCTAGGACAAATCTAATATTCTGTAATATTTATAGCTAGATAAATCAGAACGGGATCAATCTCCTAAATATGGGAACAAGGGATATTGTTCACAAGAAAAGAGATTTGGAAAATTAAAGTTAAAAAAAAATGATCATTTAAGAAATATTGTAATATACATAGATAGACTTTCCGAAATCATATCTTATAATATATTCATATTATATAGCTACAGTCCTGCTAGATTGTGAAAGATACAAGAACCAAACAAAGAGACAATTTATATGTAGATGTGTGGAGAGAATTTGTTATGTTTTACAGTTTAACACAGACAGATCAATCAGTTTAGAATATGTCTAGAAGTCATTGTATACTTATAGTAATTGACAATCATTACTGAGTAGTATATTATAATCATCACCACCTAGCCATCAACATTTTATAATACACGTTTATAATCCTTGACAAATGAAGATTGAAAAACATGTAAAGAGCGTTAATGAGGTCTACATGTCCACCATTATCAGGGGAATGTCAACAATTTCTAAACAAGACTTACCGTTTGCTTTAATGTAGATTTAGGAGGATGTAGTAGGGATGTAGATTTAGGAGGAGGTAGTAGGCATGTAGATTTAAGAGGATGTAGTAGGGTTCTATATTTAGTAGGATGTAGAAGGGAGTAGATTTAGGAGGATGTAGTAGGGATGTAGATTTAGGAGGATGTAGTAGGGATTTAGATTTTAGAGGATATAGTAGGGATGTAGATTTAGGAGGATGTAGATTTAGGAGGATGTAGTAGGGATGTAGATTTAGGAGGATGTTTGATTTAGGAGGATGTACCATGGATGTAAATATGTGGTGTGCTGTGCAGGCCCGCCTAAACAGTATTATAGGGGAGAGAGAGAAACATGGTTTAACGTCCACTCGACACAAACTAGGTCATTTCGGGGCCAACACATGGTTCAATTTTATTTCAATAATTCGCTTGCGTGTAGGTGTCTTTAGCAGTGGGATAAAACCGGAGGACCCGGACAAAACCCACAAGTCTGGACAGGCAACCCTACTCCTTGTCATGTACAACCGGGGAATTGAAACCCAGTCAGTTGACTCAATGACAGACCTTATGATACAGCGAGCACACGCTAACCATTCGGCCATCCAACTCCCCATTTAGATAAAGAGCTTCTCACTATAATAGTTCATAGATAATGAAAAGTGAAATATTTAAAATTTCAGTCAATTTAGTTTATTTTGAGCAAAGTTATAAGTGTTTGATTGTCTTGATTGTCCAGTACTGCTGATACGATAATAAACAAAGTCTACATTATCCTTTTTATGATAAAATTATTAAATGGAGAAAGTGTTCTAATCCATTCAGTACCTAAGCCATCCGATAGCCTGGAGAGTTGATCATGGCCACCCAACCCCTCCAGTATTATAGGCCCCCGGTCAACGGCATTAGAATTCAACATTATTATATATATTTATTGTAAAATTTTTTCAATGAGATTTAGACTAGTAATTGAACTGGAATATACAGATCACAATTCTATGAAATATAATTACTGCTTATTACTAAGCGACGTTTTGACTAGGCTTATCAAACAATATTCATTGAATTGGTGATTGCAACAAAATCAGTTGTTAAAAATTAAAACAAAATGCTCTACAGCATAGATTATTAATTAACACAAATATTGAACAATGTAACATGGGGCCTGTATGGGCTCTAGCAACTGCCCAGTGTAACCATGGGGTAAAATGGCCCTGTTGCTGTGTGATTGTTAGTATATCTCGGGACACCTAGATTGTTCTATTCTGCAGTATTTCGAGTTTAAATTCCTACTGACTTGGCTAACGCGGTTGAGATGTATGATTCCATGACTGGAGTCGTGGTTTAGATTCCCATCAGGATCATCCTGTCACAAGAATAAGTAACTCTAAAATTACACGTGAAAAACTATATGGAAGTTGATTTACTGGTATGTGCTCCTTTATTTAAGCTGTAGAAAATAGTCTCTAGTTGTTGGGATGGTATGAAAAACCGAAGTTCACTTGTGTAATTGTTAGTATGGACTTACAAGAACCCTTGACAGCTGGAATTTGATGAAAAATAGGCAGAAACATTGCTGTTTGGGCAAAATTGGGAGTGTAACGTCCACTCGACACAAGCTAGGTCATTTCGGGACTAACATAGGGGTCTTTAGCAGTGGGAGGAATCCGGAGGACCCGGAGAAAACCCAAAAGGTTGGACAGGCGACCCTGCTCCTTGTCACGTACAACCGGGGATTCGAAACCACGCCAGTTGACTCAATGACAGGCCTTATGATATGGCGCGCATGTGCTAACCATTCGGCCACCCAACCTCCCTTGGGCAAAATTGTCCGTCACAGTGCACTGCATGAGAAGGTACAAAAAAAAATCCTGAGGTCCTGTGTACTCGTTGATGTGGACATGAAAAAACCCTTGACAATTGGAATTCGAAATAAGAGTAGACCGGCTGAATTTCCCTCATAGCACACTACATAGTTTAGGCTCATCTTCTTTAGCCTTGTTCGTACATGAAAGAAGGACATTAAACATCATTTCTTTCATTTTAACTTTAAACTTTATAATTCCTGAACAAACGAAAAAATGTGTTTTCAACCATTTAAATCACTTTTAAAAAAAGAGAATCATGTTATTGCTATTTCGCTTGACACTCAATGACTTTATAGCATGCAATATTATTGTTGTTTTAATAACGCCTTTAGGCAGAGAATAAATGATGAGTGGTTCGATTCCGTTTTCAGAATTACACAGCGAGTAAACGCTGCAATTAGACTTCATTACCTGACTCATATAAAAACAAACTTTAACATTTAACACATCAATTTTCTTTATTGTTTTATTTTTGAAATAAAAAAAATAGAGATTTAATTAAGACAAAATTGTTTTACATTAAGAGAATTAGATAAAACTAGCACCAAATTTCAGCCTCAGGACAACCCTAGTGTAGCTGCCCAACCTAAATAGACAAGAGATTTCTCAGGTTCATACGTGTAACAATGGGGGCAATAAATATAGCACTGGCTCACAAACCAGGAGGTTCCGGGTTCGTTCCTGGTTGAGAAAACTCTCCTGTATTTTACATGGCTTCCCTTTGTCAGTGGTGCAAGACGGAGGGCCTGGCAAACAAATGTATCTAGTTGTCTGGATGGGTAACAAAAAAAATCAGGTCCTGTTTATACCATTGGTACCATGTTAAGGATCACCTAACAGTTGGAAATGGAGATAAGAGTAAACCATAATGTCACTGCCAGGACAAAATGTTCCTCATAGAACACAGCAATGTCTTGGTTTATTTCATTTCATTTCTACACATGTATCTTAGTGACTATTTTTTTCCACCTAATTTGTATTCGTTTATAGTGAAATATTTGTAATTTTGATAATAATTGAGTTTGAATAGCACTAGAAAGTATTAATGTATACATGTATTTATAATTCCTGATAGAATTACAGTTTCTCTTGTGCTCTGTCAACC